GAAGGGTAAAAAGGGAGGAGCAACACAGTGTTATTGCTTCTTAATGACATCTTACGCCCTTTTGTGCTCTAGTTGTAATACATGGGCGCACGCTACATGTGTCGGTCTTACAAAGACAGCCGTCAAGTATATTACCTGGATTTCCCCGACTTCGCTCTGACATGCTCATGGTGTAATCTTTCATTCGCGAATGTGAATCTTTTGTTTAAATAGAGTTAAACACGCAAATAAACACTGTTATCAGGTTCGTCGATGGAAGGCAACGAAATTGAAGACGAATTATATGGTAATGATGTCCCTCTTAATCCCCAGGAGAGTTCGATTATTGCAGTACGAAAAAACAACTCACACAATGCTTTTGTAGCATACTTGAACATTAACAGCTTACAAAACAAATTTGAGTAACTAAACTTGCCGAATGGTTCTTTTAAAGCGCAAATACTAATGTATCTGAAACCCAAATTGACAGCTCTTATTTCGAAGAGCAGTTTACGCTACAAGGATACCATATGTATCGCAGAGAGAGAACCAAAGGGGGAGGTGGACTCATTACCTATTTTTCTAGAGCTATAAGACGCTGGAAGCTATTGCTGTTGAATGTACGATAAGGAGGAAATTAATAGTCTTTAGCGCTTAGCCTTAGTGTTCTGGGGCTGTGCACAAGCACCTCAAGCAAGTCAAGCATCTCAAGTTAGTCAAGTATCTCAAGTAAAACAAGCATCTCAAGTGAGAAAAGTACCTCAAGTGAGGAAAGCACCTCAAGAAAGCAAAGTACCTCAAGTAAGTAAAGTACCTCAAGTGAGAAAAACACCTCAAGTAAGCAAAGCATCTCAAGTAGGCAAAGTACCTCAAGTAAGTCAAGCACTTCGAGTAAGGAAAGCACCTCAAGTAAGCAAAGCACCCGGCTCAAGTATGCAAAGCACCTCAAGTAGGCAAAGCACCTCAAGTAAGCAAAGCACCTCAAGTAAGCAAAGTACCTCAGGTAAGGAAAGCACCTCAAGCAAACAAAGCACCTCAAGTGAGGAAAGCACCTCAAGTAGGCAAAGCACCTCAAGTAAGCAAAGTACCTCAAGTAGGCAAAGCACCTCAAGTAAGCAAAGCACTTCAAGTAAGCAAAGTACCTCAAGTAGGCAAAGCACCTCAAGTAATTAAAGCACCTCAAGTACGCAAAGCACCTCAAGTAGGCAAAGCACCTCAAGTAACTGAATTAAAGCACCTCAAGCACGCTAAGCACCTCCAGTAAGGAAAGCACCTCAAGTAAGCAAAGCACCTCAAGTACGCAAGGCACCTCAAGTACGCAAGGCACCTCAAGTACGCAAGGCACCTCAAGTAGGTAAAGCACCTCAAGTAAGCAAAGCACCTCAAGTGAGCA